TATATATATATATATATATATAGTGATGAAGATATACTTTTAGTAGTATAGTTTAAAGTTCAGTGCACGACGTACATATCTAAAGCTAGTCTACTCACACTTAAACTCTATGTTAAGGTATCGCGCTCTGTTAATTGTTTATTCCAATGTTCTTTAGCGATAGTATAATGGATTACGTCATCAGATTTTGTTAACACTATTCACGATAATGTAATTACGTCATCAGATTTTCTGAACTCTATTCAAGACAATGGTTTTACGTCATCAGATCTTGTTAATTCTATTCACTATAATGTAATTACGTCATCAGATTTTGTTAATTCTATTCATTATAATGTAATTACGTCATCAGATTTTCGTAACACTATTCACGCTAACTGAATTAAGCTTTGTACTTAATTACAAACAAATAGTATCAAAGATAAAAAAGACGTTTTAGAGAAAAAAGGTATTTATCACATTAGGTGTGAATGGAACAAAAAATGTATTTGTCAGTCTAAACGTAATTTGAAATGTCGTTTTTATGAACATAAAAGTAACAAAAAATGATAATTTCTCCTCTTGCTGAGCATATTGTTGAAACAGGTGATTCAATGACATGAAACAACAATTTTAAAGAAACTTAATAGCCAAAGTGAATTAAATATTAGAGAATCAATACCAATTTTGTGCTGTAATATAAGTAATTATTTGTTAAATAGAGGTGTAGGGTTAGCTGCGATAATACACAATTTTGGAAAGAAATATTGGCTTCTTATGTACAATACTCATAGATTACAATGAGTTAAATCGTTGCTTTATAGTCCTAACGACGGTAGCGTAAAGCTACCGAAACACGTAGAGTTGTTTGTTTGTTTGTAATTAAGCACAAAGCTACAGAATGGGCTATCTGTGCTCTACCCACCACGGGTATCGAAACCCGGATTCTAGCGTTGTAAGTCCGCAGACATACCGCTGTACCACTGGGGGGCGAAACATGTAGAGTCGGCCAAATAAAAAATATTGTTTTTAAGTTTAAAATCTATTACACAAGTTGCTGTGATTGAATCTTGAAATATTGTCTGTTTGACTTTATCTTTTTTTTTACGCTACCTGACATTTCATCATTTTTTACGATACATAGAATTTTCATTGATATGTTTAGTTACAGTGGTGTAATTTACTACGATGCTTTGGTGCTTTTACTGTTTATACGTAATATATATGCCTATTTTGCATGACTTTTCTATAATATTATTTGTTTATTGACCAATAACCTTTATTGAATATTAAGCCATTTGCGTGAAGTTCATCTTCTGTAACACAAATGCAGTCTGTATTAGTATTTAATACATTAAATGTTGTTATTGATATTCATATTTTTAAACATTTGGACAGACAACTTAGATTCACTCAGTCAAAATGACTTGGATGAAATAGGAGAAGAACTTAAGAAGGCAGAAGACGAAGATAACATTCTTGCTAAAAAAATCGATGACCTGCGAATGATAGAGAAGGAACAAAAGAAGATGGTTCAAGACTTCGAGAATGAAATAAACGTTTTGGAAAAAAAAGTCGAGAATAATAAAAACATTGCCAAGGCAATGAACAACCTTAAAGAAAGATGCTACAAACGACCGACAGAACTGGAACCACAAGGATAGCCGAGTGTTGTAATATGCTATATACAAAAATGTCATTTCTTGCGATTCATATGCTATTTTATATTACTTATAGATAATAAAAAAATGTGACACAATGGAGATTCAAGTTTTTACACCATTAAATAAAATATGTAACTTGGAAGAAAATGCAGTATTAAAGAATGTAATCATATTCATATTATCCCCATTAAAATATGCGCTGTAGCTATCTAGTTTACTGAATGATAATAATGTAACTAACTACAATGATTGGATATTTGTTTCTATCTGTTGGGAGATTGTTTATTTGCTATACAGTCTTTGTTTGATTATCTACACAATGGCCTATCAGCAATGTACCCACCGCAAGAACTAGGCCTTCGGGAACTGTGGCACATACAAATAAAGTATTCGTTATTCTTGTGTTTCTTTGTTTTTAAGCAGACAGATATACTAGTACTGTACTAATGGCGAGTATCGAAACCCGGTTTTTAGTGTAAAAAACACTCAGGCTTACAGCTGAGCCACCGAGAGGAGAGTGGTTAGGGCAAGAATAACATCTCCTCTTGGTGTCGATGTTATTTTTTTAGCACAAAGCCGCACAGTAAATTAACTATGCTTTGTCAATTGCGTGATATCGAACCCTAGATTTTAATGCTGTAAGAACGTAAAATTACCGCTGACCCATCAGAGAACTAATTCATCTCATGCATACAGATAGGAAGTCAACTTAATTATACTTTAATGTTAAAATAAAATAGAATACTGTGATGATAACCCTAACAGATACATTAATTTACGCAGCAATTTTTTTCAGTAATATTGGATAGTACTAATATTACATATTTATATTTCAGGCTTCATGGACAAATTACTTATAAAAAATAACTTGTATCGTACTCAAAGAAACAATTAAACATTAAATTTGTAAATCAGAAAGAGATCATTAAAGTTTCGCTTGAATGTATAAATATCCAAATTGAATTAAATTAAATATTTATCTTTCAGTTTCTTTCCAGCTACATATGTTATCTTTTGAAGTACCCACATATACTTTTACAAAACCAAAAGTAATTCATAGTGTTAAAATACTGACATCAGTATCCTTAATTTACTAAATGTCTTGAAGTTTTAGGTTTCAGTCTTTATAAGTTCGTACTAATTACATTACTGAAAGATATATAACTCTATCTTTACATCATTCACTTTACTAGGTTTAACGTTTTAACACATGATTTTAAATTAATATATAACTCTCTATCTTTACATCAGTCACTTTACTAGGTTTAACGTTTTAACACATGATTTTAAATTAATATATAACTCTCTATCTTTACATCAGTCACTTTACTAGGTTTAACGTTTTAACACATGATTTTAAATTAATATATAACTCTCTATCTTTACATCAGTCACTTTACTAGGTTTAACGTTTTAACACATAATTTTAAATTAATATATATCTATCTTTACATCAGTCACTTTACTAGGTTTAGCGTTTTAACACATAATTTTAAATTAATATATAACATCTGTGGGGACTGTGGTGATATGAATTGAGACATATAAATAACACCTTTAGTGGGGACTGTGGTTATAAGAATTGAGACATAAATAACACCTTTAGTGGGGATATGAATTGAGACACAAATAACACCATTAGTGGGGACTGTGGGGATATGAACTGAGACATAAATAACACCTTTAGTGGGGACTGTGGTGATATGAATAGACATATAAATAGCACATTTAGTGTAGATTGTGATGATATAGCTTGAGGAATATGGATAACAACTGTAAGGCATTGCTTTTAGTTCCTTCAAAGTATACTAAGCTTGTATCAGAAGAAAGTTGAATACAAGTACAGTATTAATGGAATATCATTGTGACCTGCATCTATGAGGATGACACTCTGATTTCAGTTACTCGTTTAGGGACACTAATCATGAAAATATGGGGTCTGTTTTATAACCCGACGTTGGTTACATCTAAGCCTCTAGTTGAACATCTGCCCAATCAGAAACTGTGTCGACTGAGAATTTTCGGTGGTGACTTTACCTATTCAAAATACGTAGTGGAAACATACCATACGACAGATCAATAGAAACACGAGATTTTAGCTATATAATACCAAATTCTTGAACCTTCTGGAACAGAAACACGAGATTTTAGCTATATAATACCAAATTCTTGAACCTTCTGGAATAGAAACACAATATTTTAGCTATATAATACCAAATTCTCAAACCTTCTGGAATAGAAACACAAGATTTTAGCTATATAATACCAAATTCTTGAACCTTCTGGAATAGAAACACAAAATTTTAGCTATATAATACCAAATTCTTGAACCCTCTGGCTATTTTCATTTTCATACAGTTGTTTATCAGTAAGAGTTTTCAGACTTCATACATTCTATGACAGCGTTAAAGTTGAAAACTACCAAATGACTAAAATAGAATTCATGTTTCTTCATTTCTTTTCAAGAATATATTTTCAGACACTTTCTCACAAGTTTCCTGTGTTTAAATGATGCCATTATAAACGGAGTGAAGTATTCATAAACTGAATTATTCTCTAAAGCCAGGGTTACATACATAATTGTCAATGAAGAGACAAACACACCTTCTGTACCGCTTCTCTCACCTGTGATTTCGATTATACCCAAGTGAATTTTTAATTTCCCTGATGGTTTCTGTTTTACCAGTGAATACCACACACACACATTCCTGTAATCTATTAAGGGTTAGTGAGATAATGGTGAACTGATTAAGGAAATGAATTACACGATAAAGAGCGTAAATATGTGAAATACCTTGACATGGTATTAGAACTGCAGAGTTTTATCAATATAGCTTATATCATGATCTTCTCGATCCTAATGTTTCTTGTTCTTGTTTCTAGAGTTGCGTTAATGCTATTGATGGTTGTGTTTGTGCTTTAAAAAAGAAAAAAGATACATAAAAAGGGCTCATTCTGATCATACCATACCACATATAAAAAACATAAGTCTTTAGTATTTTACCGTTTATTTAATGTATTCCTGATTATAATCAGTCATTGGGTTCCATTTCGTTTATCGTGTTTTTGAGATTATAATAAATAAGTTATAAATTTTAATATTCTCCCTCTGAATACGGAACTGCCTTTTAGCAAAGTCTCTTATTATCTAATTTTCATTATCACCATTAGATGGCAGAAAGAAACAATTCGGAGTTTTTCACAATCAATCTTTTTTTTTTTTAGTTACATAAAATAATGACGAAATTACAACGAAATAAATTATAACATATTTTTCGGAAATTTTTCTAATAGCGTACAAGGTTTTGAGTTTCTAGCGTCATTAAATTTAACTGCAGTACCTCGTCATTCATAAAACAAATAATGTGCTGTTTATGGCATTTTGTTCACACTTATGGTAGATGTATATGTCGTTGTCATGGTAACCAAACAATACTTTAAGAGTGGCACTGCATAGCTGGAAGAACAGCCAAACGAGCGTTATTGGTGAAATATGTTTTACTGACATTACAAACTAAATCGATAATTTACAGATAAATTGTATTGTATAGTATGGATGATGTGCCCTAACTGTGATCGTATTGTGTTCTCTACCAATGATGTAAGTTTTTATTTGTTCTTCAGCATTATATGTTAATTCTTTATTCTAATTTGTAATACGCTAGCTTTGAAGCTCATACGATTTGTCTTGTTAAAACGTTTGGTCTTCCTATCGGTATGTGATTCAGCAGCTTGAATGATATAAACTCGGGTTGGTCACCTTGTGAGTTCAGACGTAATTTTATTACTAACAGCATATAATTAGACTTCTCAGAGTTTGGTTTTGTGATCCAGTTTTGTTCTATGTAAAGTTTTGCATGATCTTGTTGAATGTTTTGTGGATCCGCTAACTGCGTAAGCTGTTTCAAAAGTGTGAGTTTTACTGACTTTTCTGCTAGGTTGGTTGAGTGTACTATCAGTTAGGTGGATGAAGAAGGATTATTTTATTTTTATTTTATATGGTTCGTGTTCCCGTTATTTTAGGGTTAATCTCTTATATTGCTTGTCCTTCCCTGACATGATGGACCATAGTTTGATGAAGTAGGGTTCTTTTATCTTTTTTTTTCTCGTGTATGTTCGTGTCCCATTATGTTAAGGTTAATCTGTTATATTGCTTGTCCTCACCTGACATGATGGACCATAGTGTGATGAAGAAAGATTATTTTGTCTTTGTTTTTTTCGTGTATGGTTCGTATCCCATTTTCTAGGGTTAATCTGCTATGATGTACGAACTTCTCTAACATGATGGGCCATGTGTATAGATTAATACTGTCGTGTCTTGTACAGATAGTGTGCACTAACTGGGTTCATATTTTGTAGCGGTTTTCGAAGACTGTTTTGACTTTATGCTGCTTGCATATTCTTTGTTTTCAGAGACCTTTGACATAAAATGATATAATTGTTTGCGTTTGCAATTTTATTTCCGGTTATCGTTGGTATCTGTTTTTAGTGATATTCCTACCATCTTCTGTATTACAACTGAAGACAAACTGATCTTCCTACCATCTTTTGTATTACAACTCTTATTTATTCTGAAGACTAGGCAGTTAATGACACCTGTCGTTCCACTCTTGGGTTGGTTTATAGTCGAGGTATTTACTTGTATATGTATGTTTCCTGTAAACTTCTAGGGATGGGAGCCGGTTACCTTATTTTTTTCAATTTGTATTGTGAATTGTATCATTGGATGTTATCTGTTGAAGTGTTTCACGAATACTGGAATCTTGTCTATAGGGTTTAAGTATATTGCGAATGTGTTTTCAACGTATTGAAACTAAGGCCTAGATTTTGATAGCCTTATCTTTGAAATGCTTCATATAGAGGCTGATGAGTAGTGGATATTGTTTTGGTATACTGTAAGTCGAGTCTTCTGTGGTTATGAGTTAGAACGAAGTTTTGTCTTTTACTTGGTACACTTTCTTGAACTTCTGCTAATAGTCGTTTACTTAAGTTTATTTCTG